TTCACGATGATATGAGTTTCACATAGCCTTGCTTTCCCAAAAGTAGTTCTCATCCATGCTGAACTGCAGTTCCGTCTTCGCATTGGTCTTATCAACACCCCTTGCGGGAGTCAAATCGTGACAGTGCAGAATGGGAGCTTGACACGTTAACCACTCGGCCACTTTGCCACGAGTGCCGTTGGGTCACAGGTCAGATGTGAATTTCAAGAAAGGCCTGGCCTTTTGCCATATCATATTCTCATATTATTAATTTAGTGATACTCTCGAAACTCCACTTAAAATAAGAATTAGTATCCTTTGAATTCGTTTTTGCAAATTCGCTTTATACCGCTTAAAGGCTGTGCTTTTTTATTTGAAGTAAGCTTGCTATGATCAAGATAAAGCAGTATATTTTCCTCATTAAATAGTTGAATCGAGCTTTAGCAATCTTTGTCAATTCATTGTCCAGTTATACTCTATTTTCCATCTATTTTGTCCTAGAAGTGTATATACCTTGAGATCCTCCCTCTGCTTCGTTTTGGACCTTTTGATGACTGATCCTTAGAATTTATTTAGATACACTTTTACTTTCTATAATACTTTCAAAGTTATGCTTTTATTGGTCGCAGTCTCCTTTCGCTGTATAGAAGTTGTTTGACCTTGTTTTCGCAGCTTGGTCATATTGGTAGGAAGACTTAGAGGAACGCACTTTGTCTGGAGTCCAGTGGAAGTATGATCATTTCCAAGGTCGCATCGTGGACGTGGTACATTCCGAGACGTTTCGCCAGCATCGTAGTCGGCATCGTCAGTGAGTCTTGCCACACCACACAACAACTCGTCAAAGAGACAAGTGAAGCCGATCCTTTGAGCAAACGTTTGCTAAACATTTGTGGTATCTCTCCTTCTGCCCTGGGCTATTTAAATTTTCTATATAATCGTATCACGCCTTCATTGTTACAATTATAACCGTGCATATTTAGATGTAGTGTCGTGTGCCTATCCTTTTTCTATCCGTAATACCAAGTCTATGACTTGCTAAGCCTTATTATCTTGTATGCCAACCCTATTCAAAGCAAGCAGTACCACAACATTTGTGGGTTAGAATACAAAATTCTAGGCCATACCAAATCATAGACTTGGTATTAGGGATAGAAACAGGATAGACGCGGCGGAGGCTGGAGCTAGTTTGCTGACAGTAGGTTTTACCAAAGATGTGGTCCATGTACAATGGCTTGGCCATGAGATTTACTCAGAGGGTTAGCCTCAAATTAGTCACTCAGACGCAGGGGAGGGGTAATAATACATCGAGTAGCCCAGAGGGGGAGGCAGAGCTCGAGTGAACTACTTGAACCAGTGCGATGTCAGACGGATTCTACGGGGCAAGAGAAAGACTCATATAAGACCTAGGGAATGAGGACTGTGTAAACCTATGGCAGAATCTGATCAACATTCCCAGCACAAGGGTGAAGGGGGGGGTGCGAACACCAGCGTGGAGTGTGGAGGGTTCTCACGAAAGGGCACACCACATTACATCTATTAAGCACGGTAAAAATTGTAACAGTGAAGGCGTGATACGAGGATATAGGAAATGTGAATTGCCCAGGGCCGAAGGAGAGATGCCACACTTGTATCTTTTGACGAGTTGTAGTATGGTGATAAGAATGGCAAAACTCACTGACGATGACGGGGAAACGTCTGGTAATGTACCATGCCCATGTTACGACTTTGAAAATGATCATGCATACAATGGACTCCGGACAATGTGCACTCCTCTAAGTCTTTCTGCCAATATGACCAAGTTGCGAAAACAAGGTCAAACCACATCTATATGATCTGATCATTTATTAGTGACTAGAAAAAATATTATCTTCATTTACTTGCTATATTATAATCTTCGTTAGGTTTTTAAATATTAATTCTATATAATATAAATTATCCATATATTCTGTCATTTTTTAAATAATTTTCTTATTTCTTATAAATATGACAATATGCTAACTAATATTGACCTTTATTTTATCTTACTTTATACCAAAGTGTGCTTTTGAGGCCACATTTACCGCAGTCCAAATGTTTCCAAACGTTACTCAACTGAAGCCAGTCGCTTCTTCCCAGCTTGCCGCCAGACGCAGATTTCGCTCCAAGAAAGAAGCACCAGATATTAATTTAATCTGTACGACCTCAGCTTCTTGTCATTCTTCTTCTACATCTTACTTGTATCCTACTTACTGTACTACCCTAACATCTAGCTCTATAATACCCATCACTTCCATGGCTGAATCCATGTTTACATGTACCACGTCAATCAGCACCTCTACCATTTCAGCTACTACTCCGAATTGTGTCACAATGAATAATAACATTGCTAACAATACTATTAAAATACCCCTGCCCATCGGTAGTTCTTCGTTCAACAAGAATAGTACTTGTGCAAATAAGGCCACAAAACAGCCTGATTTATCTAGTTTATCTTCCTCTCCACCTTCTTCTGCACCTGCCTCTTTCTTGAGACCATCAACATCCCGGCTAATTTCAGCTGATGTGAATGATCCAGCTAATAGTCAGCAGTCTATAAGTAAGGACAACCCTAGGAACTTTGCTTGCTCAAGTGATGCATGCAGCACAGTTACTACACCAATTATCTTTGCGTCATCTAACAGTTTCAGGTCTTCGTACCTGGCAAACGGTACCAGTCCCATTTCTTATGGTCATAGGCCGGCAGGTTGCATTAGTCCAGGAAGTGATGTCCCCACCTTTCGGCGACCAGTGCATCGACTTTCGTCAATTCCAAATTTTGCAATGCCAGATGGTTTCTTTGGTTCACCTCCGATCGATGGCTCAGCTCTGCAAATCAGAGAATCAGTCATTAATAGGCCTGTCAAACGGAATAGTGTTATTGGCATTATGAGAATACCAACCTGCTCTTCAAACAATGTTGACTCAGAAGCGAGTAGTCATGCCTTATTAGGCCCCCTAAAATATAAATCAGATGATGAGGCCAAGTAAAGAGATTACATTGGCATTGTAGACATACCAATATTCTAACTTGGCATTTTGACCCTCCCCTTGATTTTTATCACAGATGAAACTATAGAAGAAGCCCATCGACTACATTACTTTTATCATTTGCTTGGAGTTTTTTGCATTAGAATGCTACTTATTTCTATAGTTATATAATTTGTACATTGGCAAATTATTTTTCAGATTTTATACGAGTAATAAACTTTTTTTGTATAACTATATATATATATATATATAATATACTATTTCAAAGACGCTTAAAAAATGTATCCAATGGTTTTCTTTGGCCACTGTGTCATTATTGAGATGCAAATAATTATTCTAAAAAAAAAGAACCTGAATTTAATTTTAGAAGTGCTAAATATTTAAAATTCATCTTTGGGACAATTGCGTTGAATATACGGTAGAAATGATGGCAAGTATTTGCCATCCTTCCCCTTTGCTAAAGTATATCTTTCTATACGAAGACTCGAAAATGAATAAATTAAGATTAACTAGTGCAAATTAAGAATGAACTCGAATTTATTTAATGGTCTGTCGTTTTGGCTGTAATTCTACTCTTCTTAAACTAAGTTGCCACTAATAAAAGCTGTATCCACCATATGAAGCATCAGAAAATGAAGCACTGATAGCTGAATCTTTCTCAATGATATAATTAGGGCCTATAATGCCATCGAATATCACGTAACCTTGTTCCTCAGACTGAATTTTTATACAGAGTGGACTGCGGTTTAGACTTCACTTCAGTCTTATCAGCAGCCATAATGGGTAGTGTAACGGAGAATTTCGACATTGTATCAACATGCCGCACTGCAACGAGTGCCAGCAGGCCACAGAGACGATATGAATCCAAGGCAATTAATGTAGCCGGTTGTAATAATAAAGACAACTTTACATCATTGGCAATCCACCTACAAAAATGTAATATAGGAGTATAATTTATATTATGTACTAATTGGGTGCTGCTGAGGCCCAGACAAGATCTAAGATGCAGTCCGTCCTAGATGGAAAATAAGGCTATGTGAAAATCTATGGCATCAAAAAGCATACGCATATCACTGTAGAAAAATTAAACTATAATTTCTTCATCATTTTATGCATCCTAGGATGAAATACTCTAATTCAAGATGCATTGATGGCTTACAAAATTACTTAATACACATATAATACAATATTTTCCCCCTGATTGGTTTGTCCATATTTTCTAGCATTAATTTGTTTCGGAACTTCTCCATATAATTGCCGTAAGTATTCTAAATCTCATAAACGATGAGAAACTTCTAAATTTCCTAGACACGATTAATTTACAGATAAAATATCACTTTTATCCTGGAAATATATTTACTTCTTTTTTCGAGTAAAAATGAAATACCTACTATAAAAATAAATGAAAGACAAAGGTAAAATTGCTGACAATTCATTTTTTATCATCATATTAAATTATATTTCGTTTATATGGATGGCTTCGAGACTACCAGTAACTCAGTTATATGAGATGTATTCACCCGATTTTGTCAGAGATGATGAAGTACTGTTAGTCTTTAAACCCTAATTATAAACAAAAATAAGCAATTTAATCTATTATTGTAGCAAATATAACTTTGTTTATCGACAATCCCACCAAATAATGTGATATTGAAAATGTCTGGCCTTTCTTTAAACTCAAATCTGCCCTGTCACTTACGGGAAATCGTGGAAATGTGGCGTAGAGGTTAGATTGTCGAGAGTACACGCTGCACTGTCATGGTTCGAGTCCTGCTGGGCACGTTGATTAGACCTAGAAAACTGCTATCTATCCTAGGAGTGAAAGCGTCAGCTTTAGTAATATTATTATGGAAGAATTCAACTACCAGTCCTCCATTACCTTAAAGGAAATAGCGTGAACGCATCTCATATAACTGATTAATGTTTTAGTAGGTGTTTGACCTTACTTTGGCAACTTGGTCAATTTGGCAGGAAAACCTAGAGGAATGCGCCTTGTCCAGAGTTCATAGTATGCTTGACAATTTCCAGAGTCGAACCCTGGACTTGATACATTTCCAGACGTTTCGCCGGCATGGTCAATGAATCTTGCCATTTTCAAAAATTCAGGAGTATGGCCGGCAAGAAATAGTATAGGACCTCTTACTTAATAACAAAAAGCGACGATAATAAATTGCTTAGTTATGGAATTATAAGACAACGCAGGTTGAAGCAGGCGCGCCTAGCTGAAGTGGTTTTTATGTTGCGACACCTACTGGTCAGTGCGATGGGCAGATTAAGGTTGTGAATTTATACTCGTTTCCTTTGATCCTGTATAAATGACTAAAATTTTCTCTTTAAAATGAGAAAGATCTTCTTGAAGGAATTCTGGTGGAGGTCATCAATATCTTCCACAAGTTCCTCGAAGAGACAAAACGGGAAATTGAGATGGAAGTAATCCCTAAAATCTTGACACAATGAACCAATGAACGGAATCATATTTGCCAGGATACGTATGACCACAGAAAGGAACGGACATTTGATTCCTTAGGTGGGCAACGGAGGAGCGACAGTTATAATGGACAGAAATCAATATACCGTGAAAAGGAAAGGTATTCTACGAGACAGGACCACGTATCGTGTACTGAGGAAGAATCGAACTATGAAGATAAATTGAGCTTTACGTGACATGGTGAAAGATAGGCATATGAACATGGAGATCAATGGATGGGCAATAAATTTACTAATAAGAAAGGATGCATGATCTTCAACAACCTACTGGTTACCGAATATCAAAAACATGACACTGTAAGTAAAAGAAGTATTGGTGAGTTCTGATCTACAATCTATGTACATAAACATTTCTGGAGAAAAGGCGCTAATGAACCTAGTAAAAATTTGGATATCATACAAGCATAAGGTATCAGGAGGTAGTCGTTAACATGACTAATTAACTTTACAATAAGGACTATCTACATCAAATTTAACGTTAACGGCTATGAACAGAAGTTTTGACCTCCTATGAGATCGCAGCTCTCACCTCTCTTGACAAATGCATACAGGAACAAATAAGAAGAGAATTTTAGGACGTAACCACTGCAATCAAGAGCTCTTATACGATTCCTGGATGACTACTTCGCAATTTGATCTCATGGAAAAAAAGGGAGGATTTCCTGAAGTTTATGAACTGGATTGATTTATGAATCAAGTTCAAAATGGATATAGAGGAAGAGTTGTGTTTAGCTTTCATAGATATGGAAGTCATTTGCTCTAATGGGATAGTCAGAAGATTGTTGCTAAAGCATTAATATACTGGAATACTACTCAATTTCGAGTATAATCACAATTGCAGACTGAAGATAGCTATAATGAGGAGCATGGCCTTCACAAGTCTAATAATTACGTACGTGTAATTCTGGTATGAAGAATTGGATAAATTAATTCGGCTATTCGTCATTAGCGGATACCCGAGAGAACTAATACAAAAAAAAATACTGGCCGGGAAAAGCAGATGACAGGATGGGGATTATAAAGGAAAGGTAAAGAGGGAGAAAGAGTCATAAAATTAGATATGTCTCTCTTCCTGTGAACTAATTCAAAAAATACGGCTAATATTAGGAAAATGGAATATTAGAGTGACCAATAAGGAAAAAACAGCACTTCAAAAGTCCACCCACGCAACATGGGATGGCAGACAAATTGGATTTATCGGAGGCTTTATGCACGGCGTGCGGCTCATGCAAGCATAAATATATTGGCGAAACAGAAAGAAAAATCAGCATAGAAAGCAAGAAATATCAAAGACTAGACAGGAAAATGGATACTGAAAGATCGGATTTAGCGAAATACATTGCACGGACTGGACACGAGATTAATTGAAGGAAACAGAAAGAAGGGCCTCATACGATAAAAGCACGAAGAACCGGAAGGTTTAGGAGTCCATTGACACCGTTAAAGAAAAAAACAGAATGAACAGAAGATTCGAAGGCAAAGTTAAAGATAACCTTGCTTATTACCTAATCAAGCTGAGAGAAAACAGGAATGCAAAAGAAGAGGCAAAATGGAGACGACTGGATTAAGGATATATCGTAAACCAGATAAAAAGGGTCGCAAGGTAAATTAGGGTGAAGAAGTTTCGGAAACGAAG